TGGTGAAACCCTGTCTCTACTAAAAATACAAAAATTAGCTGGGCATGGTGGCGCATGCCTGTAATCCCAGCTACTCAGGAGGCTAAGGCAGGAGAATTGCTTGAACCCAGGAGACGGAGGTTGCAGTGAGCCAAGATTGCGCCATTGCACTCCAGCCTGGGTAACAAGAGCAAAACTCCATCTCAAAAAAATAAAAATAAAAAATTTATTTTATGGCTGGGTGTGGTGGCTCATGCCTGTAATCCCAGCACTTTGGAAGGCCAAGGCAGGTGGATCACCTGAGGTCAGGAGCTCAAGACCAGCCTGACTAACATGGTGAAACCCTATCTCGACTAAAAATACAAAATATTAACCAGGTGTGGTGGTGGGCACCTGTGATCCCAGCTATTCCAGACGCTGAGTCAGGAGAATCACTTGAACTCAGGAGGCGGAGGTTGCAGTGAACCAAAATTGTGCCTTTGCACTCCAGACTGGATAATAAGAGCAAAACTCTGTCCCAAAAAAAAAAAAAAAAAAAAAAAAAAATTGGGCCGAGTGCAGTGGCTCATGCCTGTAATCCCAGCACTTTGGGAGGCTGAGGCAGGTGGATCACGAGGTTAAGAGATCGAGACCATCCTGGTCAACATGGTGAAACCCCATCTCTACTAAAAATACAAAAAATTAGCTGGGCATGGTGGCGCATGCCTGTAATCCCAGCTACCCAGGAGGCTGAGGCAGGAGAATTGCCTGAACCCAGGAGGTGGAGGTTGTGGTGAGCCAAGATGGTGCCATTGCACTCCAGCCTGGGTAATAAGAGCGAAACTCCTTCTCAAAAAAAAAAAAAAAAAAAATTTATTATTGGGTCCTCTCATTCAGGCACAAGCACTTTATATGGATAAATGATCCAAAGCAACCAGAAATGGTTGTACTTTCAGTCCAGAAAGCAAAATAAATAAGAATTGTATTAGAAGACTAGGAGGCCCCTTAGTGATAGTAGAGACATTTGAGAAATCAGCTAGAGATTTCATCAAGTTTTTGGGGATGTTCCTATAGAAATAAGAGTAATTTAATTATTCCAGAAGCTGAATGTATTATATAATGCTTCTAGTTTATAGCAAATTGTGTCAGAGGAGTAAACCATTTAAAGATTGTGTGTGTGTGAAAGACTGGGTGTTACAGAACTTTCTGACCATATATTCACTTTCTTCCCCAAAGGAATTATTGGGCCATTTGAATAAGATAACCAGTAGCTTAAGAATTCAATACCAAATGCAAACCCACCCATTGTATATTGGCTGCTGGTGACCTGAAAACGTAGCTTAAGTTGAAAGCATAAAATTGTCAAATGACAGTGTTTCTTTGTCCATGGACCGAATCATAAATTGCAAACTATACCTATAGCCCTAGAGGTGTTTAGTTAGTCCAGACAGATGGTGTTTTCAAATTTGAATTTGAATGTCTTTTGGCAAGGCTTGTACTCCTCAATTTGCCAGATTCTCCACTGTCCCTTGTTATCTTTAGCCCAACCCTTTCATTCATTAGTGTTAACTTCATGGCCCCTCAAGACATTTGAGTTTGAGGCCTCTGCTTCAGTCTTTTAGGTTATAGGAATTGTCTATGGTAGGTCTTCCAAAAAAAGATCTAAAATGAGATTACCACCATTTTTATTTTATTTTTTTATTTTTTCTGTATTAATAGGGCCATTCACATGTTAAACTGCAGCTTGCAGCCATGTTTTGTATATCAAACCTCATATGGAATGAAGAGGAAGGTAAGAGATTGGTGAGATTCGTTTTGAAAAAAAATTATAGGAAGAGTGTCTTGCACAGGGAAGGCAGCAGGTGCCCCTTAGATCCTGGGGAGAGACTCTTTTCTTGGACCACTTGGCCCAAGCACCCTCCAGAGTCGCCCTGGTATGAAAATCAGTGGAACTAGCCTGAGTCAGATGGACAGTCAACACTGAGCACCCCCTTGGAGCCAACTCTATACCAGATTCAAGGGGGAAGAGTGAGAAGTAAGTGGCAGTCACTGCCATGAGAAAGCTGATGAGGTAGATGGTGAGATGCACTCAAAGAAGGTGAGAGGGGACAGTTAGTGGGAGGATAAGCCTTCTGTTATGAGCAGAGAAAGTACATATATGAGGACTACAGGCAGATAAGCATGATGGAGAAGAAGGTGCATTGGTGAGAAATGAGAAACGCAATGTGACTAATGAAGCTGGTAGTCTGTAAGGAGGACTGTATAGATCAGCGATTCTTTACCTTGGCTGCATATTAGAATCATCTGGGAATTTTTACCCCATGCCAATTAAATCAGAATCTCTGGGGGTGGGCTCCAGACATAAGTGTTTCTTAAAGCTCCCCAGTGGATTCCAATTTATAGCCAAGGTAGCAAACAAATATAGGAGAGCAGTGGGTCTCAAGGCTGGGTTGGCTGCATTAGAATCACCTGGGAAACTTTTTAAAGTAAAGAATTCTGGGCCCCATCCCTCGAAATTCTGATTCACTTTGTCTAGAGAGAGCCAGTGCATGAGTGATCACTGTAGGTTCTTCAGTGGGGAAGACTCCAGGGGATTACTCAGCAGTTATGCCCAAAACAAAGTGCAAGAAGGGAAACTGGATTCCACCCACAGACCTAGATACCAAGTACCGTCTATGTACGGGGGAGACAAAGCCACCCTCAAGGAGATCTTAGTCTAGTTGGAAGATAGAACAGAGTGATATGAAATAAATTGGAAGTGCCAGTTGTGCTGAAAGGCAGCAAAAAGTGCTGGGAGGACAGAGGAGGGTAGAAGATAATAGAAAGGGGAAGACAAGACCTGTTTGGAGTAGTAAGAGCCTGGAGGGCCATGGGTATGTCCTGAGAGAAGTGATGAAGCTGGGAATCAGTGGCAGAGGGCCTTGTATCAGGCTGAAGAATCTAACCTTGACCCTGTAGTCCATGGAGAAATCAGTCCAGCTGCAGAACCTAGGATAGACTGCAGGCAGGATGGTCAGGAGGCAGAAAGCCAAGTTAGAAGGCTGTCAGTCCAAGCATGACTGGGTCCAACCACATTGGGAGAGGGTAGAGGACAAAAGGGACAGGAGGAGTAGGGAGTGAAGGACACTGGTAAGGCTCTAGATTGTTGATTGTACATCAGAGAGAGCATTTGCCTGGGTCATGTTTCCAGTAACCTGGCTTTAATCATTTAGGTTCACAAGAACGCCAGGATAAATTACGAGACATGGGCATCGTAGATATTCTACACAAATTGAGTCAGTCACCAGATTCAAACCTTTGTGACAAGTGAGTATGAATGTAAAAAGGTCTTCCTTTGGGCTGTGTTGGATTCTTTCACAAAAGGGTTTGAACTGCCTGGTAATTAACGTGGCCACACTTTAAAAATCTTTTATATTCTTAAATTTTCCTTATAATTTTCTATCAGCCACTGTATGACGTTTAAGCTATAAACTAATGATTATCAAATTATTAAAGACTCTCATCTTACTGTGAATTAACCTGTGTCTGGACCATCTTAGTGGATAGGATCCAGAAGCCATTTGCATCTCTTCCCTTGATCATTAGAATACACATGCATGTGACCTTTTGGAAAGCCGAAAAACTAGTAATGCAAACATTGATTAACTCAACACCTCACTGAACACCCATTTTGTGCCAGGCTGGCCCTGCTGCTGGGTATACAAAAAAATCACTGTCTTCAAAGAGCTCATCATTTCCTGGTAGAGCCAAGAGTTATAATCATATACTTAGCTAACCTCAAAATAGCCAAAAATGCTTTTCCTAACTATGTGTTCTTTTTAACAGCCTTCACTTTCCATCTTGCCTCTATAATAGCAAAGCAGGGAACATCAGCACTTTGAGTCTCCAGAATCTTGAGCATGGCTTAGAAGCCCTTCAGCCCTTCGTAATCTGGCTGTCCCTTTCTCATCTTCCCCGCACCCACCATGCACACCCTGTACTGCAGTCATACCTGCCCGCTTACGGTAGCACACCTTCATGCAATTACACATTCTGTTCCATCTGATTTGCTATCCCAGTCTCCTCTCCTCTCAGTCCCCATTCACTCAGCAGATAACTCTCTTTTTAATACCTGCCTTCTCCCAGCCATGGTTTTAGGCATTAGAGATATAATGGTGAATAAAATTGATGAAGTCTTTGTCCTCATGCAACTTACATTCTAGTGTAGGAGATAGATGATAAGCAAATGAATACGTAACACAGTATCAGGTGATGAGAGGTACTATGAAGAAAAATAAAGCAAGGTGAAGGAATGGAGAGTCAAGAAAAATTTATTTTAATATAAGTTAACCAGTACTCTCTGAGGATGACATGATCAGAGACCTGAATGAAATGAGGAAGATTTCATCTGGGCAAATGCTTAGAGGAAGAGTATAGGCAGGGGTGACAGTGGGTTCAAAGGCCCTGAGGCAGGAGTGAACTTGGTATGTTCAAGGAACAGCAAGAAGAACAGAGGGCTGATGAAAAATAATGAGGGGGAGAAAACAGGAAATCATTGGAGACTGTTGAGCAGAGCAGACACATTATCTGATTTTAATTTTTTTTTTCTTTCTTTCTGAGACAGTTTCACTCTTGTTGCCCAGGCTGGAGTGCAATGGCGTGATCTTGGCTCACGGAAACCTCCGCCTGCCAAGTTCAAGTGATTCTTCTGCCTTAGCCTCCCGAGTAGCTGGATCACAGGCACCCGCCACCATGCCCAGCTAGTTTTTTGTGTTTCTGATAGAGACAGGGTTTCTTTTTTTTATTTATTTTTTTACCTTTTTTTTTTTTTTAATAAAGACTGGGTTTCACCATGTTGGTCAGGCTGGTCTTGAACTCCTGGCCTCAGGTGATCCACCTGCCTTGGCCTCCAAAGTGTTTGGATTACAGGCGTGAGCCACCACGCCCATCCTAAAGACAGGGTTTCACCATGTTGGCCAGGCTGGTCTCGAGCTCCTGACTGCAGGTGATCCGCCTGCCTCAGCTTCCCAAAGTGCTGGGATTACAGGCATGAGCCACCGCACCTCACCCTGATTTGAATTTTTAAAAGATCACTCTGACGACTATATAGAGAACCATCTGTAGGAGAGCAAGAATGGAGGCAGAGAGACCAGTTAAAGGCCGTTGAAATAATGTCAGTAAGGATGGGAGGTTAGTGTTGGAAGTACTGAGAAGTGTTTGGATTCAGAATTTTAATCTGAATACAAATGCCAACGGGACTTACTCACAGATTCAGTATAGGATATTAAAGAGAGAAAAGGAAAATGTCTAGGGTTTTAGCCTGAGCAACTAGATGGAGGGTATTGCCATATACCAAGATGGTGAGACATACAGAAGTGGGTTGTGGTAGGGAGCATCAAAAGTTCTTGTTTGGGTATGCCGACATTAGGATACCTATTAGATATCCAAGGGACTTGGAAGAGCATGGCTGGGGGTATAAATCTGAATGGTATTTAAAGCCATGGAGCTGGATAAAGTCACCTAGAGCAAGTAAGAGAGAGGAGGCCTAAGGAGCAAGATCTAGAGCCCCCCAGCATTTAGGCAATGATGAGAAAGATGCAGCAGAGGAGCAGAAGGAACAGCTAGTGAGTCAGGCAGAGACTCAGGCACATAAGGTGTCCTGAAAGCAAGGAAAAAAAATGCCTGGACACTGGCCATTTATCCTTCAAAACTCCTATCAGGTTGCCATGTCTTCGAAAAAGCCTTCCATGATCCACTCTCCACCCTCCCTTCCCGGCTTTTCCAGGGATGCCTTTTGCGCTCCTGCAGCATCTGTAGAACACGTCACACTATATCTTGGCTGACAGCTTGTCTGTCTTCTTCACAAAAGGGGAGAGGAACTGAACTCTCTGAAGTAAATGGCTGTCCCAGACTGTGGTGCACACAGGACAGGCTGGTCTTCTGCTTCCCCGAAGCTTATCATCCTGTAGGCCAAAGAAGAATAACAGACTGAGCACGGTGGCCCATCATGCCTGTAATCCCAGCACTTTGGGAGGCTGAGGCAAGTGGATCATGTAGTCAGGAGTTCAAGACCAGCCTGGCCAACATAATGAAACCCTGTCTCTACTAAAAATACAAAAATTAGCCAGGCATGGTGGCGTACACCTGTAGTCCCAGCTACTCAGGAGGCTGAGGCAGGAGAATCGCTTGAACCCGGGAGACAGGTTGTGGTGAGCTGAGATCACGCCACTGCACTCCAGCCTGGGCAACAGAGCGACACTCTGTCTCAAGAAAAAAAAAAACAAAACTAAATAACTACAGCCCAGTGCTGCTGGTTAGTGAGCGTAACATCAAAGTCAAGTCCAAGCCACATACTGAAGGCTGGATTTGAGCTTGTACCTTGAGAACTGGAACCTCTACCTGCACAGCTGCTATCATAAACGATGGGCTCTGTCAGTCCATGTCTCGTGGCTGAGAGCCATGTTCACTGGGGTTTTTCGCTCATACTTGTTCAGAAGTAAAAACAGATTTTACTTAAAATCATCTCAGAGACAACCTAGAATGCTAAGAGAGGCCTTACCAGCATCAAGTGGGGTAGGTTTAGGCCTGCTTGCTTAGACTACCCCAGTACTGTTTTCCCAGATTTGTATGGCACATAAGTTTTTAGCTCTTCTTAAACTTAAACCCTTATTAAAAGAATCAAGGTCTAAAATAACAAAAACAAACAACAAAAAAGGATCAAGGTATGAGCTACCCAACCTAAGTCCATCTAAGAAAAGGTGATCTTGCCTTCAAAACCATTCTTCTAAAAAGAATCCTTAGTTAATGATAATAGACAATAAAGGTATGGTGTCTGAGACCCAAAATAATCAAACGTACCCAACCTCTGAATAAGATCCAGAAGGAGTTTGATTTGGCAGATTTAAAAAGCAATACAGAATTTTGATCAAGACCCTCATGTGGTGTTCCTATCGTGGCACAGTAAAGTCTGTCACCTGAAGAATACCTCTCAGGTTCTTTCTGTCATTAAGGCCTTGATCCTTTGACTTTCAGATGCTTACATATGAGAAGCTATTGCTAACCAGCCCTCTCCACCCAGGCTCAGAGGGCTTCAAGGTTGCAGGGCCCCAGAAATCATGCCTCCATCAGAACTGCTCTTCTCAGCCTCTTTTAAGTCTTTGGGGAGTCAGGTAGATGGTCTGTGGCATCATTCGTAAACTTGTTTCTGAAAATGTCCTTGTAGAACCCAACTTGGTCATAACTTGGAGATAATCTTTCTAGCTTTCTGTTATGATGATTGGACTGTTCATAATAACATCTTTAGAGTCTTAAGTGACTGTAAGAATACACCTTAGTATACCACTTTAAAAACTGTTGTGATATCCATTACTACAGAAACTGTGATATCCATTACTACAGAATCCAGCTTATTGTATGCACAGTCTGCTTGGCATTACTTTGATCAGCTGTCATACCTGAACATTGTAGACTTTCTTTCCAGAGCTTAGAAGAGGTGACCATTGCTGAAACCTGACTTCCTAACTCCCACAATTGCAGCCTCTTTACAAACTTTACCAAGTTTGTGATAGGAATAGTAAAGGAGGCCTCCTTGGGCCCAACTCAAAGAAGGCCACTTTTACAAGGATAGATTAAATCACATTCTTTTTTTTTTTTTCTTTTTAGACTGAGTTTTGCTCTTATTGCACAGGCTGGAGTGCAACGACGTGATCTCGGCTCACTGCAACCTCCACTTCCCGGGTTCAAGCAATCCTCCTGCCTCAGCCTCCTCAGTAGCTAGGATTACAGGCATCTGCCACCATGCCCAGCTAATTCTTGTATTTTTAGTAGAAACAGGATATCGCCATGTTGGCTAGCCTGGTCTTGAACTGACCTCAGGTGATCCGCCCATCTCAGCCTTCCAAAGTGCTGGCAGTGTAGGCATGAGCCACCATGCCCAGCCTACTCTGTCTTTTCCTTTCCACCTGGCCACCTTCTTACCCCATCACCATAACAACCCACATCTCATATTGATCAGTTATAGTGTCATCAGGTGTGATGAGAACAAAATGAACTTGTAGCCTTCTTCCACAGTTATGCAGCATGTGAAGCATGAGACAGACTCATCCCATGGGCTCTCGGCCCCTTCCATGAACCTTCTAATCAGCACCTCAACACCATTTTCTTGGTCAGTTTTCCTGTTTGCTTCCCAGAACCCTAAGTGTCCTCCCCTAGTGTGTGCTTCACTGCATAAAACCTACATGGCAGTAAGAAAAAGAAAAGGATTAGAAATCTATCACAACTATATGCCAGTGACAGAGGAATACTATAGAATGTCAGTATGTACCAGGGACTGTGGAATGTCACTGAGCTGCAGCAGGCTTAGGAGCAGGAACAGCCCTCTGAGAGAAGCACAGGAAGAAGAATACAGCCAGAGTAGATTTGAGGTATCTGCCCACTGCAGATTCCTGCCCCTTAAGGTAGGTGTCCACCTTGGCTCACCCCAGTTTTCTCTGGGGATTTACTTTTTAGACTTCCCCAACTATCATCATTGAGCCATAGGGTTTTTTTCCCCCAATTACAATTCTGAGATGATGGCTAACAGGAATTTTGTGATTTCAGGGCAAAGACAGCACTGCAGCAGTACCTGGCATGATCGGAGCGCCCCTGGGCACCTGCGAGCATCCCACCTCCTTGTTTAAGGAAGTACAGGAACCAGCCTCATTTGATTCCTTCTATTTGCACAAGTCACCTTGGACTGCAGGGAGCTGTTTTGCAAAAGCAATTTAGTAGGCTTAGATCTCAAATTCATCTTGAGAACATTTTTTTGAGGTAGTAGTTTCCTCAGAAGACTCTTGGGTTTTGTTTTGGTTTTTTTCTGAGCTACCTGGACTCTTTATTAGAACAATCAATCATTTTCCTTTGGACCTACAATTTTTTGCCTATGCTGCAGCCACTTTGTGAGTGAGAATGAATATGTCTGTGTGAACACACAGGCATGTGTGTGTATGTGCACATACGTGGGCCAGAATGAATGGATGTGTGTGTGTGTGTGAGGGATACCTCAGATTTTTCTTTTCTTATTTTGTGTGAAAATCTCTTTTCTACAGATTTTCCAGGGTTTAAGCATTGCTTGCTGTATAAAAAACTTTACTGAATTATATACAGTTTGAATGAAATGTTATTTTAAAAACAAAACAATTGTTAAGTGTTCCATAAAGGTTATGTTGAATTTTGGTCAGATGAATATTTGTAAGTAAAAAATATATGCATTTCTGAACCTCAACTTACATAGATTTTCTTTATATATAAAAAAGAAAAAGTTGGCTATAGTTGGCCTGATTAACAGGCACTATACATGGTGCTGTGCAAAATAGTAAGCTAGCATCTTACTGCCGTCAATATTAGCAGGTACAGAGCCTTTTTTCATCCTAATTCAATAAGTTCTCAGGCTACCGAGTCAGATGGGCAGGGAGGAGTAAAGTGAGGCGATAGATTCACCGTAGGCTTTTTGAAGCATCGAAGGGAAATATAACTACTGATAGTGAAAGCCCAGTCGTGACCCAGATGGGCTTACCCTTGACAGGAACTGGGGACTGAGAGCCTCCCAACTGCCCTAACTCCTGTCATTGGTATACCAATATCTGGCCAGATTTAGAACCGGTCATGGAAACTTGCACTCATATTAAAAGTAGGTCATCACTTCCCAGAAACAGTCAGACACCTTGTGCTTCCTGAAACAGCATATATCACTGTGAAACTAAAGAATGTGCTATAGACACACCTGTAGAAAGAAACAAAGAAAAGGGTAGTTTAGAAAGCTTTCTCTTACCTGTATTCAGCAAATTTCATACTAGTTGCTCAGGATTGCTAGTTGGTATGCTTTTGTAAAATGAGATTGAAATTAAATAAAAGATGCAACTAAAATCTTTTCCTGCATGAAGCTAAAAGCACCCAAGTTGAGAGAGGGGCAAGAGAATCTCCCCAGGATGACTGAAGATGACTACAGCAAGTACTCCTAGCCCTTCTGCACCCCTTAGCTTGGCCCCTGCTCCAACTTCTGGGTCAACTGCAAGGTGAACTCAACAGAAGTTGCTCTTGACTGTTTGAAGGTAGAAGCAGCCTGCTTTTTCTCTTTGCTAAAAGAAGGTCAAAGGTATCGCAGCCAGGATGCAAGGTCTGCAGTCCAGAAGCTTGCGGTGAGTGTGCCACTGATGGAGCCCCAAGCCCACCTACCAGCCACTCCTGATGGGGTTGCTCACACTGCAGCTGCCCTATCACCACCCTGCACCTTCCTTGGAAGATTTAAATGTTTGATTGCAAATGAATGTTTAAAAATGTATTTAATGCAATTTTTCCTGCTCTCAACATGACCACCCAAGATTTCACACACAGAGATTTCCAAGTTATTATTTTTTTAGAACATCACTGATTTAAAAATCTGTCACAACAGGACTTGGGTTCCGTGCAGATATCAGAATGCTAATGTGAGAAACCCAGCTAAAGGAAAACTTAGTTTATTGGAAAGAAAGCCTTAGGCCCACTCATTGTTTCTAGTACTGTGAAAATATCCTTGGTTGGCATTGTTAACACAAAACACTGTAGTGCTGGTATTAAATAGTACCAGGTAAATATAAAGAAACCAGTAAGGAATTGCTGAGACAATCTTGAACCCAAATAGCGTTAGAAAGCTGAAGGCCCAATGAAGTAACACTTTCACATTTAAACTCTGTGGCTAAATCTTGCCTGTGGGTATAAACAGATGGTCAAATTAAAAATGCTTTACTATAATTAACTTTTCTGATTTGAATGAAGAGAAATGTATTTCTTGAAACAAAGCTGTTTGCTGCTTTATGCAGATGCAGTGTTTAGTCAGCAAGGAAGTGGGAAGAATGGACATGGTCTTCTGTCTACACCCAAGTTCTTAACTAAGCTTCTCGCTCTAATACTGCATTCTGTTTCTCCTTTTGTGCCCTGATTGTAACCC